CAACAACAATTTTCCCCATGAGTACAAGGTAACAGTGCCTACTTATTACCTACCCCACCAGCAATTTGCCCCATGAGTACAAGGTGACAGTGCCTCCTTATTACCTACCCCAACAACAATTTGTCCCATGAGTACAAGGTGACAGTGTCTCCTTATTACCTACCCCACCAGCAATTTGCCCCATGAGTACAAGGTGACAGTGCCTCCTTATTGCCTACCCCACCAGCAATTTCCCCTATGAGTACAAGGTGACAGTGTCTCCTTATTACCTACCCCTCCAGCAATTTGCCCCATGAGTACAAGGTGACAGTGCCTCCTTATTACCTACCCCAACAACAATTTGCCCCATGAGTACAAGGTGACAGTGCCTCCTTATGGCTACCCCACCAGCAAGTTATACTTACGGATATGTGCTATCTCACCACCTCCCTACTCTGTCAGAGCCATTGTGCTAATGCTCTAATGAAGCTGGTCTTCTGACTAAGGGGGTGCATTTGACATCCCCCATGTGACAATGTTTGGGTCTGAGCAGTAAATCACCAGGCCAAACACTGACCATGGATAGAAGGCAGTGACATCTGCCTGGGGAAGCTACACCAACCAACATCAGTGCCTTTTTATGGTAGACTACTGCAGTGATGAAGCACATGAAGCTGTGTGTTGTTGTTTGTTTGTTTTTTAAGCATACTGTGCATTCCCATAATGAGTTGATAAATTCAACAGCAGCTCAAAATAAGTTTCACTGGGGATAATCTATGTCATATAAATTCAAGGGAAATGTCAAATTCATTCAGTTGAGTATGGGATTCCGAATGCAAAATTAAGTGAAGTATTGAGCAGTAGGTACTGACATTAGCTGTCAAAAATAAATGTCTTTTAAACTACCCAAAATCACATTTCTGCATACTTGTTATACATTTGTCATAAAACATTAGATGAATTAAAGGACAGTTCTGATCCAAAAGTAATATTTCAGGTCAGTTTGCACTGATGGGTTAAACCGCCCACTTTCTTCTTATATATCTCTGAGATGATAGATAACCTTTCTATAGTAGCTTCTAATCCCTCTCACGATGCCATAACGGATATGTCGCTCATAGCTCTATTACCTATTTATTTCTACTATGTACATTATTTATGAGAGCATAACATCATCATTTGTAACGCTAACAGGCAAAATTGGGAATTCTAGTCAGTTTATCTTACCGATAAAGTGTCTGAGAGATGTAACAAGCTAGCATGCATTGGCATGTGTGTCCGTGCCATGCCAGTAACAACACAGCTCAGAGATATTGGTTTTGGGTGATGTTGTCCTTTAGCTCCTAGCTGGGCTTACAATACCCAATTACCACTCCTGATAATCACAGCTTGGGCAATAATTAACAACCAGTTACAAGTGTAGTTCACTTACAGTTTATATACCACTCTAGGCCCTCCAACCAGTCAAAAGGTGTAGGTCACTCTGACATCTGTCACCCCACTCCAGACTCACATAGGTACATACAGAGTCGTACTTTGTTCTCCTTCAGGCTAAAAACTACTTTTTTTTTCAAATTTGGAAATTTGCAAAGGAATGCTCAGCTGTTCTAACTGTCAGAATATACTCGTCTTACATGTGCTCATCCACTGGGCACTGCCAACAAGACAAGGATCTCATGGAGTTTGACACAACCTGTACTGAGAAAAATATCCAGGCAAGTTTCTTGGCTGTTATACTGATTCAATGACTTTTTGGCCACTAATCTGGAACCAGTCTGCAGGTCAGGAGCTCAGTCTTCACTTGCTGTGTGCTAGTTATAAATAAGTAACTCAAAGTATTAAAGCCATTGGATTAGCTGGATAATGGTCGCCAACATATTCCATTAATCATAATAGGAAAATATTGTGCATCTAGATAAAACGGTAAGAAAGTATTGTGCAATTTAGCTAAGATTGTTGTGCTTTTTTGTATGTGCTATTGATTAGAAAACTGCTATTGACATGGTTACGAGTAGGGATGCACCAATACCGGTTTTCGAATACCTATACCGGAGGTCCCATTAATGATGCCAGGCAGCGTGTAATGAATCGCCGCCTAGCTTCCTCATCAGCCGGCTCCATACTCCCTCATCACCAGGTGACGAGGAAGCACGGAGCAGGCTTTCTGGCCAATCAGGAAGCTGGGCTGGGGGGCAGGTAATGACTTGCCGCCTGGCTTCCTGATTGGCCAGCTTCCCGACCATTTAGGAAGCCGGGCGGCGAGTCATTACATGCCACCCGGCTTCCTGATTGGCTGGGAAGCTGGCTCCATGCTCCCTGGTGATGAGAGAGCATGGAGCTTGCTTCCCTCCCAATCAGGAAGTCGGGGGTGCGGGGGGAGTCATTACCTGCCCCCCAGCTTCCCGGCCAATCAGGAAGCCGGGCGGCATATAATGACTCGCTGCCTGGCTTTCTTATACTGGAAGTTCCGGTATCAGGATAAGCATTGGGAGCATTCGGGCGAGTACTGGCCCAAATAATTGGTATCAGTGCATCCCTAGTTATGAGTCTGAAATAAAGGCTGATAAATGTCATCAAAATTTTACCTACATCCAGTTCCATATATAGTTTTGTATAGCATAATGCTGACTAATATTTTTTTTGGATCTAAACAGGAATATAAACCCTATGCCATGAACCCACTAAAGCACTAGATTGAAGACAGCAAATGATTTGCTTTTCAGAGGCGAACCCATTAATTTCTTTGCTCTGCTATTTCCGTAATAGTGATTTTGTATGAAGAAAATGCATCAACAATGGGCCTTTTTATGAAATGTGGTAATAAAGGATGGGTATTATGTGTAATAATTTAGTCTGCTTCCAGTAGTGTTGAATATGGAGGGTCATATACTTTGTCCTAAAGTGCACTAATCCTTCTTTCCCTTTGTCCTGACCTAACCAAACTCACACTCCCTCTCCGCAAATGCATAATCCCTTCGCTCCTGTGGCTGCAGACTCCAGTGATTGCTTACATCTAGCGCCGCAAGTCTCATTGTCTTGGCTCTGCCTGCGCATTACAGTCTCATAGATTTCTAGAGGAAGGTGTCCCAAGGCTGGAGATGAAGGGAGACAGCCTCATAGAAGTCTATAGGGCTGTAATGTGCTGGTGTGCCCAGGATGTAAACACTGGAGGCTGCAGTCACCAGATCAAGCATCTGTGGCGAAAGAGAGTGGATTTGTCTAGGTCCGGGCCAGATAAGTACATATCCTTTAAAGCTAAATGCCAGACAGCTATACAGTAAAACATAATTTAATAAAGGTAATTTAATGTCTGTAAGAATTGAACTAGCTTGAATACCTAAATCAGTCCTGATATTGGCTCTATTTGTTTTAAATACTATATTTGTATCACACATTTACAGTATTAAACATAGGTATCTTGCCATGTACAGGCTGCAGTGACCTCTGCAAGTTGAAGTTCTTATTAAAGCTTCCAGCCTGCATGGGATCACTGAGTCACAGCTGACATAGTAATCATATGATTGAGAACAACTCGAGTGGATTCCAAAGGTGCCCATACACCTTACGATTTTCGCCGGAAAATTTTCGTCCGATGATCGAATAGTCGTACGATTTTCCTACGGCAGCCCCATCCTGCCCCGATGATTGCAAGATTAATTTAGCCGTAATTAAGGAAAAGCACCTGGACGAATTGCGGTAATTGATTTGCCGTATTTTCGTTAGCGCAAGCGCAGTGTAGATCGTACGACTTTTGATGGACGGAAACGCCAGCAACCTGGCGAAAATCGTACGATCTAGCAAAGTTGTTGGCATCCTGGTTGCATGCTGGTAGTAGGATAATCTGGGCAGACCTACATTTTTTTTTGTTTTCCAGTGTCCAATCCTCGAGTAGGTGGCAGTGTAACCCAAAGGTTAAAGTCTTTTGTGTCCCTCAATGGATGAGGAATAAATATTTATACTATCTCTTTAAAAACAAGCTGATTAATATATTTAATATCCCTCATTAATGCCAACCAAACCCATTTACTGTATGTAACCCTCTGAGTAGCCAAACTCCTGTGAATTTCATTCATTAGACATTTGATAGTAAGAGTATACTACTCTAAACCTCTTTGATTCTTATTGCCATTACCAGTCATTAAAGAGCGGCTGGCTAACCTAAAAATTTCCTCCAGATACCAATTGTAAAAGAATGAGTTGTATATATACCGGTCTGGTAGGCAGTGAGTACATTCTACTGGGTGCTGCTGCTATTAGATACTTCTAGATTGAGCTCAAAGCATGTCCCCTGTTGGGCGCTGTGGTTCCTTCTGCAGACCCTTACATCATTACTGTTTTCTGTAGTGATGTAGGGACAGCAGAAGGAACCAAATAAACAGAGTGTCCTATTAGTTTCCATTCAACTTCTAAAGAACATCTCAAATCACAAGGTCTATACACACAGAGCATTTAGTCTGGAGGCACCATCTTGTCATTGTGTCAAAGAAGGAAATAAGGATTTTAGGACATTGTTAAAAGTATATTTTTTTTCCATTTTTTGTTTGCAAGTTTAAAAACTGAAACTTTATATCATTTTGAAATAAAATATTTATTTAAAAAAAATACACGGTACATTCAGGTCATTAAGTTGGGAGATGAGACCAAATTGTGTGTAACTGATCAAGCCATACAGTCCTGTCCCTGAAAGGCGGATGTCCCACCCTAAGTCATTCAGTTGGGTGTGTAATCTGATCTCTCCTACTATTCAGGTATCTTTCACAGCACTGCTGTTATCTGAGCGCTGATGCTGGTGCTCTCCTTTGTGGCACATTGGATTCTGGCTGCAAGTGGCACATATGAAATATGAATATGCATTTCATATTACTTAAGAAAATATACAAAAATAATACATATTATCTTTAAAGATTTACAGAAGGCAAATAGTCCTCTACCTGGAAGCCTTCTGTACTGGTTTTCCAGCTATTGAAAGTAATTCACATGTTACATACTTGTATAAGAATATGTAACAAATATTTGATGTATTACGACACTACATCTACTTTTTCATCTGTACTCCAATTGCTGGATTCAAGAAATATTCTTATTTTTAGAACGATTCTATGAGTCAGCTGCATTGCTCCATCCCATCTGTTCTGATCTTGACTTGTGTAGGTTACCACATTTTCTGCATACTGTAAAATGGATTTCAAGTACCTGCAAATTAATGGAATACGTAATGTGCATTAAAAAGGTAGTTCCAATATGTGTCACCTTTCATAATTATCTTATAGAGTAACATTTGGCTGCAGAGACTGTAACTGTGTGTTTTATGTATACTAGATAAAGTACATTGAATCACAGAACAAGATGTGACAGGGGAACCTAATGTTTAGAACCAGTAATATACAGATAATACACACAGCCTTACTTCAAGTATTTTTGGTATTCTGCTAGTGTCTTCATGGGTATGCTTAGTATGTTGCTGAAATCGACAATTATTAGTGTCAGGATCAGTCGTATAATGAGGGACAGAGTCTTGATGCTGTAAAAGAAAGGTAAACTCAAACACAGGGTCCATTTAACAGAAAATGAAATGATTTTTGGTCAAAAGTTGTTTTTTTTACGTTAAAATGTTTAAAAGCATATGTTTTAAATCACATTTTCATCTAATAAAAGAGTTAATCTAGGATACTCAGTTTGCAAAGCATGCTGGGCTTTCTAACAGGATGCCCAGCACTCTCCTGCATACTTAACAGCAGCCTGTAAACTGACTAATTCAGACCATCCAGTCCCTGCCAGGAAGAGGGAGGCTGTTTGTCTGGTCAGAATTCAGTGTAGCCAATTCTCTTCTGCAATTCAAGTCCATTTTTAACAACTGCTATTGGGACTTCAAGCTCGATACCACTTGTTGCGTATGGTTGCAGGTGATACATATAAAATGTTTATTGCATAAACCAGATACAAAAGACATGACAATGTAAACTTATAATGTTTACAACCATCACAAAATAAAAATATACACAAACATATACTATGCATTCCCTGCTGAATTCCATGCAAAATGTTCAAACATATAATCCAGCTCAAGGTGCATACCTAACTCCAAAGAGTCATAAAAGCAGAGACTCACTCCCTATTGGACAAATCAGTAGAGAGGTTTAACCCCGGTTCTCGCTCTTTTTCTATATATACTGTATCTATATATACCAGGGAATCCTGGTGAAGAAAATAAGTCAGTCAGTCAGTTTTTTTTTTAAGAGGCTGTCTCTCCGTTGGGCCTGGAGTTCGTGTTGCAGAAGAGATTGGGTGGGTGAGCTGCCTGGCCATCCTGGTCCACAAGTCCACCTCTTAGAGTACTTGGCTCATTATATAAGGGATGAGAAGCCTCAAAGGAAGAGGTTTTGCTAAGGTCTTTCAGGTAAGTTGTGAGCTCTTAAGGCTGAGCAAAAGCCTACAGCATGGAATTTGAGACATTTATGAAGTAAGCAAAATAAGTTTATAAAAAAAAAAAGCTTCAAAATTCAAATTGACAAAAGCATTTTAATTTTTCTTTTAATGTCACTTCAGGGTTCTCGGTCCTGGCACTAATTTTTGTTGAACATTCCCATAAAAAATGGTTAGACTTTTCTCAACCGAGCTGGGATAGAGAATGAAGACATTCATCCTTTTAGGACACTATATATACATTTTATATACACTAACCTACTCAGCATCCGGATATAATTTTGTCTTTGACGAGACCGTAATGTTTTATTTTCCCATTGTTCATATCTTAAGTTTGAAGTGGTAATAATATTAGTTGACACTAGTTGGCACTGTGCAGTAACTCTGCGCAAAATATTCACGACTTCCATGATCCATCGATGACAATACAAGTTTGAAATGTGTTTGCTGCAACGAGCTTTCATGGAAATAAACCACCTGTAATAATAATAACAAGAAATTAAATAAGTATTTTATTTATATACGCTGAAAAGAAAACAGCCCCCCTCCCTCAGTGTCCCCCTCTGTGGCCAGTCCTCTTTAGCGTTAAATAATGCCCAGCATCATTCTATCCACTTGTGAGCTCAGGATGTCAAGGACCTGCCCCCTTGGGCAGTAAAATGTATCAGATAGCTCCTCCTCCTCCTGTGCACATGCCTTCATTGCTATGTATAAGTCATACTCATGGTGGCCTCCAGCCAGCCATCCAGAGTTTTTATGTATACTCTTTCAAATGCATAGAAAACACAATAACATTTCTGGAAGACAACAACACCAAAAGAAAGCCTTGCTTGTACCAAAAAAAATACATAACATGCCTGTATCATAAGAAAATACAAAACTCAAAGGGTAAATCAATATACCAATAGCAGAATTGGTAAAACTACACTGGTCTACAAAGGGTAAGCAACAGCTCGTGAAATGGTTAAAAATAAAGTCTGCCAGTGATTAGACAATGCTGGCAACCACTCTGTCATTACATTGTACTAAACATGTATCACACACTGTATATACCACTGGACAATATATTATACAGGACATGTATAACAAGCAGCAAATGCAATTTATTCACACTTCCCACAGAAACACATCTGTTATACCTTACATCAGCACAAACATTACCCCTTACTGGTAACTACAGCCTCCAACAAATTTTTTCCCCAAAGCTGCCATTACCTAAAAAATAATAAAGTCACCGGCACTCTGAATGATCGTGTCAATAAGTTTATTGACCCAAGTGATAACACCTCTAGCAACGTTTTGGGACCATGCGGCCCCTTCCTCAGGCAAACAGGGACTCTCTGTTTGCCTGAGGAAGGGGCCGCATGGTCCCGAAACGTTGACCCAACGTCATTTGGGTCAATAAACTTATTGACTTGATCATTTGGAGTGCCGGTGACTTTATTATTTGTTTGTACGTTTTGACGGAGGCATCCGTTGTTGCTGCTGCACCCGCCCTGCTGCATTGGGCATTCTCCCATCAGAAGTGCGATGGGATACATGGACTTTCAAATATTGTACCTGGTTTCTACCGGAATAGCTAGATTTGCACAAGGATACTCTCCCCATTAATTCCATTGTTGCTCAGAACGGTGTACGTTCTTGCATATGGTGGCAGTGCCCTTTAGAACATAGACTCTGGTCAGGAGTGTACAAAATCATTGCCAAGAGACCGAAAGGAGGAACTGATTACAAAACCAAAGCTGGTTAACCTGCACCAATTAAAATTTTACCACATTCATCTTTACTGCAACAAAGCAGATTATCACCAAATCTCAGAAATCCCCCAGTCTAAATTTCAGTTAAGACCCAAATTACATGGACCATAAATAATGAAAAAAATGACAGCAAAACTGAATGATAATATGTCCAATCTCGAAGAATCTAGGCTCAATGGGTGAAACATCTATCCAATTTTGACCAGCAAGTTCTTCACTTGGAAAATACAAATAAAACATAAGCACATCATCTTCTTACCAGCTGTGAAAATCAACAATTTCCTTGTTGTTCCTATAACACTGGTAAACCATACAATTACCATGTGAGCAATGCTTGCATGCATAGCCACCTACCCAACACTTGCCTTCATGCCTCTCATGATCAGATGATACGGTATCAGATGATAATTGAGCAGATGATCAGATGATAATTGATCTCCTTTTTTTGTGACACTATGTGATTATACTTACCTTTGTTGGTGCTGGATAATGTAACAGGGTATATACTATGATTTGGTTACCTTTGCTTGTTGCATAAACTCAAAAGCTGTACTGAACAAAAAGAAAAAAAAAAATCCAAATATCATACTTGTCTTTTTGAAGATCCAAGTCTTCATTGCAGAAGCCACTCTGATTTTGAAGCAATGAGAGAACATGAACGATTTCAGCACTGAATGATATACCTAGATCTGTCATTTCTTCAGGCCTGCATGGGAAACAAAACAACTCAACTCATCAATACATTTTTGTTTTACATAACTCTTTCCCAACAGTTTCAAGAAAAGAAGCTGGTTGAAGCAGCTAAGTGTAAATAAGAAAGTCTTAACTAAAATTGTCCTTGCGTATCCTGTAGCCCAAAGGGAATGTATAGTGGTTTTGCAAATATTTTCTTTATTATGGTCAGACTAAAAAATTAAATGTTAAAGATTTTTTTTTTTTTTTAGTAAGTTAAAATAGGACTTTTATACTTGTCATAAAATGTCTCGGAAACTATTGAGGGACATTGCAAGTCATTTACCTTTGTGTTATACTACTGCCTACAGGAGGATTGGACACTGGCTAACAAAAGGGCTGGCCACCCAGGATAACCCCCTCCTACTAACAGCATGCTTCAATTTTGTAGCAAGCAGTACTGGGAGCATGTCCCTCTATGGACTCCAAGAAAAGGATGTCACTGTGAGCGAGTACAAAACAAATCTATTTTCTTCCATAGAAGAAATTTACAGTTGGGACATACTAAAGCAGTCCAGTTGAGGAGTAGGTAACAAAGCAAACAAATGCCAACATGCCCAAGAAAACAACTGGAGAATGTCTGCAGCTCAAAGAGCCACCTAAAGTTTCTGAAGCCGGCATCAGATGAGGCCTGAACATCCGACCTGACAGGACTTAAAGACTGTGTGAACAGAGGCCAGGTGGAGACCTTGCTAACCTAGAAAACAGTTGCTGAATGATGAAAAGCCCAAGGAGCACTTATGGGTCTAGTAGAGTACAACTGCACAGGTAAGGGTGGAATTCGATTCTTGAGACCATAAGCTTGGTAATGGTTTGTCCACCTAGAGATGGTGGAATAACAAGCTGGTGCACCTTTACGGGGACCATCTGGGATGACAATGAATAAATTAATTAATTATTTCTGAAAGAAACAGTGGCTTTGTTCAGAAGACTCTAGACTCTCACAGCCCGAACCACATCCAGACGATGGAGAGAAGTTTCCATTTGGTGAACAAAAGAAGTCTTAGGCCTCAACACCAACCTATCCTCATGCAGCACAAGAAAGGGTTCCTTGCTGGATAAGGCTTCTAGTTCAGACACTAGCATTGAAAAGGTGGTGGCTACCAGAAATACCACTGTGTGGGTGGGAGTAGAATGTTTCAAATGGGTTCAAATGACAGGGTTTTGAAGTGCACAAACAAAACAGGATTCAGATCCCACGATGTCACAGGAGAACAAACAAGAGAAGCTACAGGAGGTCTTAATTAGGGAACGAGAGATTGAAAGCTCTGAAATGAGACAGAAAGGAGGAGAAACCTGACCGTTGATAGTGCTAACCATCGAACACTGCTCAAGACCCAGCTGTAGGAAGTAGAGGATTCATCCCACAGAGAAAATTCTAGTCTAAATTCTTGAAAGCCCCAAGATTCACACCAAGTGAAGTGGAGGCAGAACACTTTTTAACAAAGTTCGAACCAATACAAGGCTACTAAGTGTTGGGGGTGCAAACATCATCCAATCTCCACACAGGAAGACTTGAAAAAGTGAGTACACTTGGAGTCTTTGCAGTCTTCAGGGCTATAAAGTCCAGCAGGGGGGGGCAGTCTTCATGGCTCTAAAGTCTTTGCAGTCTTCAGGGCTCTAAAGATTGGAAATAGCACTGGGAGAAGCATCAGGCTAATCTTCTAGTATCAGAGTGGGGCACACTACAATAAGTGGAATAGTCTCTTTTCATTTGGGAGTAAAGGTGTAAAAATTACACCAAACCATAATAGTTTACAATAAAATAACAAACTACTGACTTACTACCTGGTGAAATAAGTGAAGAGAGGTCAGAAATGAGAAGCTACAAACCGATAACTGAGAAAACAACCTACCCCTCTGTGCTGGAGACGTGACTTAAAGTAGGAGACGGGAGAAGACACCATTTCTGAACACTTTCCATGCACTGTAACACCTGTGAAAAAAAAAAGTGAATGTGAAAACAAGAACACAAATATAGTAGACCCCTGACGAAGTCACGTGTTTTGACGTAACGTACGTAGGGCAGAGCTCCTGATGTCACCACGCTGAGCCGGACGAACAGTTTTCTTATCACTTTGCTGCCATTTGTCCTGCTGGTATGATCCAGCAATACCCAATGCCTGTACTGTTTACACCATTGTGAGTACGCATTTTTTATATAATAAATTGCATTTTATTGGACGTTACGCACTATGTCCTTGTCCTTTTTCTCTTTCCACCTGGATTTATACTGGTACCTGTGATCTGAGGAGACCTTATCGCCTTTTTCTGTGCATGGGCTTCCCTCCCCCATTAAGAAGGGAAAAAGTGCATTTGACCTAGCTCTGTGGGTCTACCTCCCCAGGTGAGCATTCACTTGTTATCATCACTCACTGGGTGGAGGTGAAGGTCTGCCTGCATTGTGTGATTATCCTTACCTGAGAGTTATATGCACATTGGCTGCGAATCATCTGAGGAATTTTTTGCACAATCACCATTGTTTGCGTTTGTTTTTTCCTTGGGACTTTTTTTGCCTATATTGCTTTTTTGTATGTGTGTAGATATTTCTTATGCCTCATTTGTTTGAAGGCTCATATATGTGACTCATTTATATATGTTTCAATTTATTAGATATGTATGATTATTAGCTCGGCACAATATTGTTTTTTTCACAAGAACACAAATATGTTTTGACTTTTTAAAATTTACATTTGTAAAATAAAATGAAAGAGAAAAAAAAAATGATGGGGGTTTTATTTTTTCATTTTAACTGTACATAAAGTCTAATCCTATCCCCAACCCTTCCGATAACCCTGATAATTATGCCTATAGTAACTTGCATACTATAACCTGCATACTTGCATATATAAACTATAAAAAATAACTAGGGATGCGCAGATACTTTTCGAGTACCAGTGCAGATACTTGGCGTTTTCATGAGAACTACCAGGGTTGGAGCGGTTGCAGCTGGGACCGGGCTCTGGCGCTCCCCAATGGTCCTGAAATCATCAGTCTGTATTGTTTTAGAAAAACTGTCACATGACAATAAACAAGAATGTATCAGTACTTGTATCTGTGAGTACTCGGCAAGTACCAGTACTCGTACTCGCAAAACTGGTATCGGTGCATCCCTTTATTTATATTTATAAAAACAAAATCGTAGATTAAAACAGAGATGTACAAATCCCAGGAGCTCCGTGTGCTCCTTACAAATGACAGCTGCCTCCTAACTTTAGAATTTTTCTCTAGTCTAGTCTTGGAGCTCAAAAGTATCGGTAGATGTTCTCATACTTGTACCGAGTACTGTACTTGGTATCTGTGCAACCCTAAAAATAACCTTTAAAACTGTTTCCTGTTTGGAAAATGTCCAAAAAAGGTCTACCTGCAAGAGAAGAGGTTAAATATTTTTCCTGCTACCAGCGCTGCCAAATGCCGCTTCAATAAAAAGAAATCTTCCTCAGAAGTCCACTGAGAAATCTATACTTTTAGGAATGTCGATCTCCTTGGTTCCCCTGGGTGCTTAGTATTTCCTCCTGTCACTACTGTGTTCTGTAATGACTTTATTAGATGAAAGGAATCACTGAGTGCAGTGTGTGTGTGTTTGTGTGTATGTATGTGTGGGGGTTAGGCAGATTGCAGAGGAAGATTTCTCTTGAATGGACTGGTGTTCAGTGACACGCAGGCAGACCTTTTTGGGCATCTTTTTTCTTCCTGACAGGATCGCTTTAGGTTTTAACTGAAGTTTTCATTTAAGATCAAAAATTAAAGCCAAAACTTTTTCTTAGCTTTGGATAGAGTAGGAAATGGAGAGAACCCGTCAGTTTTTTTTTTAATTGTTCCGCATTACTGCTGGGGAGGAGATTCATCCCTTTTATTTGTCCTGGCGGCTATTGTCACCAGGGATAAAAGGAAGCAAAAATCAAAAATTTGATTTGTTACCAAAACAGAAATAGGGTGAAAATCTTGCAATGGGGACATGTGTTCCAGGTGTAAAAGGTGAATGTCCTTACACTGGAGAAATTTCCTCTTACTTTCTGTTGTGTTTACAAACAATTGGAGTGAAATCTCCCCAATAGGATGGAGGAAGAAAAGAAAAAATGACCAGGGGTTTTAACCATTACCTACTCTATCTGAAACTAAATTAACCGCATCAATATCTGGACAGAGATACAAAATCATTGCCTCATGGTGCCTGCGTATTCATTTAGTTTTCCTACTGAGTGTCTTAGGCTAGCCATACACCTATCAATTCCCCCATCAACAAAAACAGCGCGTCTATTGAGGAATCGCCGCTGTTTGCATTGTATTCTGACAGTGTCGCCAGCACCTGCCGCCAGCACCTGTCAGAATACCTGATCAGACCGGGCAGCTCATTGGCTGCTGACTCTGATCGATTGAACATTTTCCAGCCAGCTTCTTCGATCAGCTGATCGAGGAATGACAGCTGAAAGGGAGCAGACAGCCCCACACACTGCGAATTTCAGCCAGTACATTAAAAACCGTCCGAAATTCGACCAGTGTATGGGCACCTTAAGAAACCACAATCTGGGGAGTGCCGGTATACACAGTTAAATCAGTTCTCCCTCCCACCCTATATACCTTACTACAGACCAGTATGACTACCAGTAACAGTTATGTGACCATAAGAAATGCTAAAGTGCAGACAAGAAAGTGTTTGCAAGCTTAGGATATGTCTAACGCTCAGGCCATAATATATTCAAACATACCTGTTTCTGAAGGAGTGCAATTGGATGAAATCTTGACTGGTATGATCCCACCGCATCCAACAGTGGACACAATATAGCCACTTCCTGTTGTGTTAAAAATAGAACTTAAGGCATTACTAGCAAATTTGACATAGATAGCAAAAGGCAATATTTTATACCTGTGCATTGCGGTAAGGTGCAGTAAAAGGCTCATTGCCAAAACACACGATAAAACAGGAACTTCAGTCATTTTAATTTCATTTGAATATTACCCCAGAGCGCATTCCAAATGGACATGCGTTTTTACAACTCACAACACACAGATATGTACTTGTCAAAATGCCCCGAAGCCTAGCGCCGAAGCTTGTGCTATGTTTTGTTTTTTTTCTTCTTACTTACCTCGCCGAGCGTCGCGTCACTGCTGCTCCGGTGGGCGGCGCTCCGAGCGGGGTCATCTGGCAGTCTCCGGACAAGAAGCACCTCGTGAGGCAATAGGGATCGGAGTGAAAGTGTGAGTAAGGGAAGCTGGGATGGGGCTGGCTGTAAATCTATTGCTATAGTGTACTGGACGTGTGTAATGTATATGTAGTGCATATATACAGCACACACCTCCACTACACTCCAGCAATAGAGTTACAATTCTCCACTGCTAACATGAATAGGTTAAACCATGATCCATAGTACATAACATGTAGTTGTACTATGGATCATTTAAAGTCACCTGTCCCTTTAAGAAAAAGTATCGGTAATTGGTATCGGCAAGTACATGAGAGGATGTACTTGTACTTGGGCCTGAAAAAGCGGCATCGGGACATCCCTACTAACAACATATAATGAACAATTAGATGTGAATCATAGAACTACATGCCCCATGATCTTTTGGGACTGTAGTCATAGCACATGTGATCGATGCTGCTTGATCAGCAGTGGGCGAGTTTGTGGGCAGAGACAGGGAAGTTGGGTTGTTCTCTGTCACTGCCCACTGCCCACATAGCCAACCACTGCTGGTCTGGCAGCATACAGATTCTGACACTGCAAGGTTTAGGTTTGCCTGTGCCTCATAGACGTCAGTGCTCTATGACTGTGAGGTGCTGCGAAACAGGACTGAAATGTCTACATTTTCATAATTTTAATAAATTAGGGAACCACCAACTCTCTGCAGCACTGACATAATGACATCAGCACAACTAAGGACTACCGTAGGCTTTTAAATGACTGGTCTGCCTAAGAAAAGGGCAGAGTAAGATGGTCCTATTAAAAAGGAGATGAGAAGCCTGGAGGCACTGTTATTAAGACCACATCTTAGGTATGCCACCAGATGGCTACTTTAGACATACATTTAATGATTTCAATACAGTTGAGCTAGTTCAATTAATTATAGTGATAAATGACTTGTAAATATTTTGAAATATGACACAGTATACCCCTTAGGTCCTGGTCTACTGCCACCAAAAAAGCACAACAGGGTCCCATGTAATTTTTCTATATTGATATTCTGCTCTTGGAGGCCTCAGTGAATAATATTTAGCAGCAAAGGCAGTCCCGTCTTCAAGAGATACCCAACCTCTCATTTTGTTGCAGCAGTAAGACTGGAGTCTGGGGGACTAATGCTGCATAAAGGTATGGCAGCATTGGGAAAACACATCCACATTTTCAAGGGAGACAAATTCTAAATAATCACCCTTATCTTTTATTTTAGAAATATTCAATTTTTTTCTGTTGTGATCTCAGGGCTTTGTTACCAAATTAATGAAACTTCTATCCAACACAATGGAGAGCTAGTTTGTTCTATTGTCCAGCAAATGTTGAAGTGATTCAGTCTAGTGTGTTCAGGAAGATGAAATGCAGTAAGACTTTCTTTGTGTTGGCCTTCTAGCCTAGTTATCTGTTTTAAGAGTTGGCTTAAAACCTCTCTCTTAGTCTAAGCACCATGAGATATCAATTTTCCTCTGATACTGAATGTGATTTCTTACCTTGTCAGTGTCATTATGGTTGAAATGATTATAAAGCAGTACAATTGAAAAAGCCAACAAGTCATTAGCAATGCGCCTGGGAAATTCACTGAGCTGTATTTCTCCATGGCTAAGGTGGTCTCTCACACGAGGTCCTTCTTGATGGTTTAGAACATCCCACAGGAATTCCTGGAAGTATACAAGACCCAGCATCTAATAAACTGTACACAGCATATATGTAAAAGATCAAATACAATGTAAAATAGCAGATAAAGGCCTACCACAAGAGGCGTCTGACTAAAGAACAGAGATTGTACAATTAATTATGTAGTGTATGGCTAGCTTTCTACTCTAGTCACAAGGTAGCTGCCATCAACTGCACGGCAGTGAGGCCCCCTGAGATATTTTTTGACTGCAGTAACAAATTTTACAGATGCCCATAGGAACATTAAAGTGAACAAGAGCTTGTCCATTCAGGTCTTAGGACTCTCTTTGCGTCCCAATAATGGTCCTGGTGAAGATAAATCCTCAGTTCGCAACAATTACATCAGATGATCTGGATGATCTTTGCGTTCACTGCACAAGCATTAAATGCTCATGTTCGTGAACGCAAGTTTATTCGAATTTATAGCGACTGCAAACGTGAAAAAGTAGTCATCATGCTAATTTGTAAGTAGTCATCATGCTAATTTGTACCCTCTCAATCTGGCAAAAGTGGCCAGTTTCCAATCACCAGCACTCACATTGCTTAAGGTTATCTTCCATAAAAAGGACCTCAACTAACTAAAACTGTGACTAAAAAGGCAAGCCGATGGCAACAAACTAGTCACCTGTATTGCCTGTAGGCTCCCTGCAGCTGATGTTTTCCTAAATGCTGACTTACTATGCTTAGTCCTGCACTGTCTCTCAGTATGGAAGTGTCCATCACGGTAGAGGCAGGGCTTTGCTTCCCCATGTCTGAGCTGCCCTCCGATGCCTGGTGATCTGATAAATGGCAGGGAAACATTCAGGAAGCAGCAGACAGATGTAGGAAAAATAAAAAAGAAGATTTACATAATGGAGCAAATTAAAGTGGGAAGAAGCATTCTGTGCAGGTACTGAGTGACAGATTCCTTTCCAGCAAGCACCACAGTAGTGAAATCACCAAATCACACTCCAATCTGGTGAGACTAGCAGTTATAGGCAACAGTGCCTCTCCCTAGACAGCTGAGGCTGTGGACACCAGTCACGCTCGGTGCCTCACATTCCGGGTGAGGCATTCCCGGCCCCACACCGACCGAAGTCCTGCCCCTGTTGGTCAAAGCCCCGCCTCCCGTCGGCAAAAGCCACGCCCACCACCGGACGGTGCCCCCACCCCAACCCGTCCCCAAGCTAGTGACAACCAAAGCCGGATGCAGCGCTGCCTGTAATTAACAGGCAGCGCTTCATCCATGACAGGTTACACAGCGGGGAGGCTTTCCCTGCTGTGTAACCTGTTAGACGCCGATCCGAATGGAGAAAAAACTGTCAGCTTCAGACTTGAAGCTGACAGCTTTTTCCTCCATAATTCTAGTTGAGGCTCTGCCTCACCTGCCTCCCCTGACCGCACGTCCCTGGTGGACACAGACGCGAAAAAGGACTGTCATTTTTCAGGTGGAAATCAAAACAAAAAAAGGAAAATCTTTCAGGGTACTGCAAAGGCAGAAGTAACATTTCTGGATTTTCCCCATAACATAGCAAATCTTCACTTTTTAGTTTATTGATGCATGTTACAAATGTGTTTAAAATATACATCAACATGCTTTAACTCATATTAGGATGCATGCAAAAATGCATTATTAGTGTAAGATCAGCCAGAAGTGTTCTTTTTAGTTTTAGATGAGGTAGTGAGGTAAAATCTGCAACAGGGACTCAAAGCAAAAACATAAAAAAACTGACAGGGATTCTACTATACCCCACTATATCAAAAATAAACAAAAAGTTTTAGCTGAAAGCCTACTTTCATTCATTTGCATATACTGTATGTAACATTGCTCTACTTGGCTCACTGTCCCGTATTGTGTAAAGTGCAAATGCCTGTTACAAACATAACCCATAACAATCAGATTATTTTGGCATATTCCCATTTCGGTGATCCTTTTTTCAGAACATAATACCCATAATTAAGCTGGCCATATATCAGAAGAATTTAATGCAAATTTTTTTGTTTTTTTACCTTTTACCTTTCCTTGACTTTCTAATGGCTAGTGGGGGTCTAATCGACATACACTTTTCAACTGTATTGACGAGTAAATACAGTAAATAGAGCAACTGTGCTAAAGTTAGAAAGTCCACCAAGTTTATCTTTTTATGCATCCTGTGTACTCCAATGTATGATCCATAAGACAGGTTGAAATCTGATTGGGTGGTGTGAGAAAACTCTTCCTACTGCCATTTCTTTATATCTAGTGTATGAAAGGCAACAAGGAGGGTCGACCTAGCATCACCAGTGTTCTAGGATGACCAGATGGCGGTCACCAGGGAGTAGGGCAGAATAGTGCAGTACAGCAATGTCTGGATGAATCGCTGATAAGGGGAGGCTATGGTCCCAAAATTAGGGCTGCAGCTAACGATTATTTTCATAATCTATTAGTTGCGATTATTTTTTCAACTAATTGGTTGGTTGCATTAAAAACCTCTCTCACTTTTACTCACTAACCGATAATATTTAATAGTTGGCAACTATTATTATCAATTAGTCGTTGCAGCCCTACCCAAAATATTTATCTGAAGGTACATTTTTTCATTTCCGATTAGTGTGTTCCTTTACACAGATAATATAAAGTCACTTTCCTTAAGCCGCTGGCTACATAATTTGCTATAAACATTGAGTGTGGACATTTTCATTAATAGCCTATTGTGTGCAGACAAAAACATAAGAATTACCATTGCGGGTTCTCCCAGTGAATTAGGCACTTGGTTGTCAGATGCATCATTCAAATGTTTTGCCAAAATCTACAGAACAAAGCAAAGGAGGCAATCATTTTACAGGAACAAATCAGTCATGAAAGCTCCTTAGATTGGTGAATGTAACATTCTTTCGTACATGTACATCGAGACATAACGTACAAAAAAGAACATTCACCACTGGATTCTATGAATGGTATTCTACTAAGCCAACTTACATCTGATTATCTTGAGCATAGGACATAGATTACAAGTAGAAAACAACAGTATTAACCACTTCAAGACCAGGTGTTTAGACCCCCTTCCTGGCCAGGCCATTTTTCAGTATTCAGCGCTGCGATACTTTGACTGACGTTTATTCCGTCATGCAGCGCTGTACTGAAATGAATTTTACACCATTTTTTGGGGACAGATAGAGCTTTATTTTGGGGGTATTTAATCACCACTGGGGGGTTTTATTAGCGCCCGGCGGCGCTTGTAAGGGGGCGTGTCTGAGAGAGCTCCTGGCCGGCCGTTTTTTTACTAGGGCCGGCCCGGAGGCAGTTAAAAGCTTACAACCTAAATAAACAAAAATTCCCAGTCACACCTCTTTACCAGTGTTAAAAATAGAAGCACATTTGTTCCTTTTTTGGATATTTCCTGCAATGTGGAGTAGAACTGAAATGTCTTTTTAAAACAGATAATTAAAATGTGTTGGCATTGTTACCTCTCAGAGCATTTTCCTCTTTAGGGACTAGAAGACACCATGACTACATACAGTGTGCCTGCCAAGATCTTTATTCTTTAAATGGTATGTCCAGCCAAATTATTTTTCCTACACTTTTGGATAGAGTGGGAAAGATTAGAACTCCTATTAGATTTTTACTACTCTCTGGTGGTTTGTTACAGAGATATGCCATAAGCTGGCATCTGTTGTGAGGGCTTTCTAAAAGATGGAAAGAAAAGACTTCCCGGACTCCAGAGCCCGATTCCCGAGACACCAAGCCAGGGATAACCTGATCCTCTGCGTAAACCGAATCGGTCCGTCCAGAGATTGGACTGACTTGTCCTGCAATGACTAAAGGTTTTGTTGCAGATGTCTGGAGTGAAACTGGGCAAAAGGGACATCCTCAAAGGAGGCTACCATCAGGCCCAACATTCTTATGCAAAAGTGCTTCTGGACTGGAGAATTTGAACATGAGACTGGAAAGTTTGATGTTTCTCCTGTGGAAGGAACACCCTGGTTTGGGAGGTGTCCAGGACTAGACCTATTAGGGAAAGAGTCACCGGCACACTCCAACAGTGATATAACTTCATCTTTTATTGACGCAAGTCTATCATTTTACAAAGCAAACAATGTTTTGGGGCTGCATAGGGTCCCTTCATCAAGCAAACAATGTTTCCCTGAATGAGGGGCTAATGGTCCACAAAGTTCAACAAGACTTCCCTCACTCTGGAAAGTGGGGGTGCGCCTTCATACAGAGGAAGGCTTGCCTGAGGATTTTGAGTGTTAGACCTTGCCAATGGATGGGAAGCCAAGCTTGGAGGAGCTCAACAAGGAGGCTGAAGGAGTGGAAAAATAAAAGGGACATTAATATTGAAAGAAGACTTCTAGGACACTAGCAAAAAACTGAGGCATACTGGGTAGAGAAAGGGCTATCCTTGACTGGCCTTTTTGTTTTGCAAGTGCCCAAATTCTCTTGTAGGTGGCAGCACAACTTGACAGCAGCACAATATTTTTACTGTGTCTTTCAATGGACACAAAAGATTTTCTTTCTAGTTTGACCAGTGTTTGTTTAAAAACAAACAAACAAGTGCTATAGTGACATTGTAATGTGTATGGTGAGCTTAAGCGGACCATATGCTACACAATTTGATTGTACAATCTCATTTAGAATTACCAAAACTATGTAATAAAAAGGCTAAGGAGTGGTGGCTATTTTACAACACACATAGGGACCATGGGGAACAAAAGTAGCCACCCTCCAGAAGGAAGTGTCAGCACGAATTCAGAGATGATTTGAGGATCTACAGCCGAGTGATACACAAATACGGTAAATTTTTGTTGAGGTACTTGAATGTATTTTTAAGATTTAACTCCTGAGCTTAATGCCACTTAAACAGTTGTGGAGGTCAGGGACTTTGATTTATTGTATGGCTGGGATGCATGGATCCCATGACTTAGCTACAGGTTTCATAGAAGACAGGGCAGGTTACATCCAGTATGTCTTAACTGTGTAATTAAAATCTTTTCTGAAGCTTATCCTCAAAGGGAATCTGTGAGGAAAAAATATTAAAGATTCCATAGCTGACTTCGAGTTCACTTTCAAGATTTATGTGGAGTTCAGTGTGTCATAGAATGTTTAAACACTATGAGTGCTGCTCACACTTACAGAAGGTCCCAACAGAACACTATGGAATATAACCAGAAGTACAAAGGAGCACCAACACTGACAGAATGGAATCCAATAACACCAATGCACCAATCAACAGCTCTGCTCAGGTAGCAAGAGTGCTGTTAATTGGTGCACTGGGGGTGTTTTGGAGCATGGGAGAGCCTGGCTGCCGCTCTGCATTAGAGAGTCGCACATGCCGTTCCATGCTATAACACTTACAAATGTAAAAAAAACGGTTAAATAAGATTAGATTTATAACTGTATATGCAGCCTGGGCACATCCTGGTTAGGAAACTATTTGCAAGGATTTTGCATGTTCTTCCTGTACTTGTGTGGGTATCCTCTGGGTACTCTGGTTTCCCTCCCCCCATTACAAAGACATGCTAGAAGGTTAATAGGCTCCTGTCTAAATTGGCCCTGTACGCGTGCGCAGAAGGGACCTTAGATTGTAAGTTCCTTGAGGGCAGGGGCTAATGTGAATGTTCTGTGTTTAAAGCGCTGCGTAAATTGTTGGCGGTATTTAAAGGCCTGCAATGAATAAACATTATAAATCATAAGCATTTCATTGGGCTTTAAAACAGTCCAGTACATGCTATTTATGTTGCCAACACGTTTCAGAGACCAGAACAAGCCCCCTTCATCAGGGCTGAAATCAGAGAATATACATATACCAATAAGCCAGTTAAAAAAGGTTACTGTTCATAATTATCAGTATATGGTCAAAGTTATTAAACAATTTGAAATTAAACTTAAATACATGACAAAAAGAAGTATAATGGTGTATTTGATCTAGTATGAACATATACTTATCTACTAGATAGGAACTTGGTCCAACCAGTTTTACATTACCTATAAAATCTTTATCCATCCATAAACAGAGCAGAAAAGAAAAAGCTCACTATTACTGTATCTATTGCACATAAAGTTAGTGGAAACATAAATAATGACAATACTTACCTCGTCGAAGGTTGTGTAAAGAATGTTAGACTTGGGGGAGAAAAAGAAACAAAAAAGTAGAATGTAAAAAATAGTAACTATGACAAATAAAATTTCACTATTTGCATGAAAATACATATCAGATAGTATGTAGACCACAAAAAACCACCAAACCTTTGGGTGCCATTTACATTAAGATGATCCAATGCAGTGCATTTAACATACACACGTTAATGTGAGTTCATTTGAATGGTCTACCTAATGCACCAAAATGAATTGTAAACTGTACCTGCAGCATTGTTTGTATCAGTGCACTGATGTGCTGTGAAATGTTATATGCCTTCGACAACTTTTTACCCAACCCCAACTGTGATGTTAAATTGCAGACAACCGCAGGAAAACGGTAGTGCTTCACCATGGCAGGTGTGGCAGGCAGGTGTGTTGAGATGCCATTCAAAATAAGTGTAACCACAGCACATCAACGCACGTTCCCACAGCACAATGATGTGGACAGACTTGTATACCTTCGACAACTTTTTACCCAACCCCACCTGTGGTGTTAAATTGCAGACAACTGCACAAAAATGGCAAAGTACACAGTTGAAATATACATGATAATGTTTTACTGCAAGGGATTTCTAATTCTGTACAGTAAAAAAGATGTGGCTTTTACACCTTTGCCACACTGTACAGCCTGGCTGGTGACAAATTTCCCGACTCAGAGATACAGCTTCATAGGAAACCTTCCTACCTCCAGTGATCCAGGACAAAGTAAAGCAGAACCAAGCGGTAGTAGAGTGATCTTCCTAGCTGAACATTGTGGCAGAACTATAAAAACAATAACATTTGCTGTACAGAATTAAAACCTTTTCTGGCGTATAGAACAGTAAAATATAATCCAAAATAATTATAGAGGCACTCATGGGTCCTGCAGTAGAGATAAGTAAAAAGCAACAGTGTTTTATTGTCAACACAAATGTATGTATTTCAACTATGTATTTGTCTGCTTGCCTGGAGTTGTCATCTAAGATGCAAAAAGAAAGACACAAAGTCATTTTTGAGAGGCTTATTATGAAATAATGTTATTATAAATACATGTCCATCCCTTGCTGGTTAGAAACAGTGGTGTACCAATCGGTAATATGCTTCTGATGAGTTATTGTATGTGTCCCTGTTTCAAGGCACATAGAAACAATTATATGCAAAATATGTTGCATTAGGTGTCCACAATTGTAGGCACGTGGGCTGCAAAAAAATCAAGAAAGCTTAGTATTTGGAAACACAACAGAGTAGACTACATTTTGGCTTCTGACAGAAGTACATACATAGCCTAATTTATGGTGTGTGTGATAATGTTTGTTTATTCAACTATGGTCTTAGCAACTGGCATATTTGTTAAGCCACATAAAACAATGAATTGTAAGTAACATTATTGAAATGAAAATACACTAACTTCAGCAGTGAGCAGCCGATCTGGACAGTTATTAACAGTGGTAAAGATGAGTCTCAGACCAGTTTCAAGCTGTATAAGTATTAGTATGGCACAGTCTGCATACCTAAATGGAGTAAATGACAGGGAAAATGATAAATAAATGGTGAAGGTAATAAGCAATAATATTAAACCAAACGTAACTACTGAATATTACTGGCGTTGCCTAATCCAAAGCTCTATTGTAGCGTTTAAGGAAAAATCTAAACCCCCATCTAAGAATACTATTTTCGTGGTTGTCTTTAGCTTTTCCCAACAGCCGTACTGTGAATCAACTTCCTTCCAGACAGGTCCCTGTGTAATGAGCTGTTAATAGAATTTTCCTTGCAGTGCAACTCTACAGTCCATCAATCACTCTGATCTTTTGGCTCGAGCTGCAAAGTGCCACTGGGGAACCTTAAGAGTTAATTGGTGCTAGCCAATCACATAATTAACATGATTATCCACAATGATCACGGGGAAAGTTTGTTCGTTTTTCCCTCCTCTCACTCACAGCAATTTCAGCACAAGCTGCAGAAAAGTTGCTGCATGGGCTAAAATAAAATTAAAGTGGAACATTACTCATATCTTTAAAATGACAACAAAGACACCTTAAGAAATGTTTAGTAGTGGCAATCTACAAACACATACTTCTAGATAATTGCTGGCCTTTTATTCTTTGCATACCTTATTGTTCTTTCCCCCCCCCCATTCTTCTCACAGCGGCCATTTTTACTGAGGGAAGATAAATCCATCTCAATTAACTGGAACTCTGGCACATGTGAGTAGGATATGTGACCATGCACATAATCTCAGGAAAGGAAAAAAAAAAGCCAAAACACCTTTCCCTGAGGTCTCACGAGATTTGGCACCTTAAAATTAGATTTCTGATTAATGCACTGATGATGCAACTTTTCCAGGATGCATCTCTTAGGCATGGGCTACATCACTGATGCCTAAGAGGACCAGGAAGTGGAAAAACTGTAATTGTAAGAAAAATATGTTTATTTAACATAAGATGATTTCATATCAGCAGACAGAGCTGCATGTTGATGTGATTTTTAGTGAGGGGGTAAAGGTCGGCTTTATTGGTCTGATATACTATTTAAAATAACATCTAATCAACTTGGATGCACTAAATTATCCCCGTGTAAGGAGACTGTAGAACTAGTAATAAAACAGTCAACTATCATATGTGACGTCTGTGAACTCCCTGAACCAATCCTTTCCTTTTTTATTCTCTCTCTAATATAAAAATGCTTCAAGAATGTAACATGTGGTAATAATGTCATAATACACTGAGCTCTTTTACCTGACTTGTCTGAAGGCTGTAATGGCCTCCTTCCAGTAGGGTACCATATTAGCCAAGACAAACTGGGATTCTTCCACTAACTTTTCAGAGAAAGACAGTATTCCATCATCAAGATCTACATAAAGTAAATAGATATAAATGATTTCCAATGTCATTTGAATGGGCTTTTTAATCACCCAGCAATGCAAGTCAACACTCACAACATTGTGGTGTGAATGAACCCCTAGCCATTCCTGTTTACTTTAAGCAAAAATATCTATTTTGGTATGGCAGCAATGCAAAGTGTTTCTCTGAAAACATACCTGGAAAAACTTGTAATCCCTCTGCACTGTGAAAAACAAAGTTAGGGCGATGGACAAGTGATGTTAAAGAGTTAGAGTGGTGAGCCTGCAGGATCTGTCCCAGGCCTGCTGTAAACAGGAGGAGCACAGAACAATACCTGAAGAAATAAGTGTTTTTTTTAAATTCAAAACATCATAGTATGACAAAACAGGAGAAAGATTAATAGTATGTAAAGTCAGAAAAAAAGTAAGATGATATTTTACATAATAATTAGCAGATACTTAGAGCTAAAACTCCTCAACTTATGATACAAAATAATTTGATGCTTTATTTCCTGCAATTTAATCTAAATACTCCACACTTAATCTAGCAAAGCAGCCCCACCATCATTTCTCCAATATAAACTTCATTACACAAATCAATTATATAAATAGCAGTGTAGCAACGCCATGAAAAGAACAATACTAAATCAAAAAAAATTAGCAGTGTGCAAAATCAAACCACAGAAACCTTAATAACAAAACACTAAACTCAGGAATTAAAGAATGCTTTCAAGTACCTTAACTATTAACAAAAATGTAATTTGTGTATTACTCAGCTGTAGGTCCTCAAATCATCTCTGAATTCATGCTGACACTGTCCTTCCTTCTGGAGAGTGGCTACTTTTGTTACCCATGGTGACTGTGTGTGTAGTAAATTAGATACTGCTCCAAGCTCACTCCCATGATGGGCTACAATCTCACGTTTAGTTTATTTACTTGTTTTGAGATTGTAGTCTATCACAGGAACGAGCCACAAGGGCACACAAGGGCATGCCGGAGAGCGGAGCTGGCTTGATTTCGCTCCTTTACTGGTTGGGACCCCGAGTACACGATTCACAAAGCAGTCACTCTCTTATGCTGGCTATAGAAGGGAATTTCCATGTGTGGAACTTGCCCTGTCTTTGATTGTAGCGCTGACTGAGAATGTGCAGTAAGGAGTCTATGTAAGCATGATTACAAATGCATCTCTAAGCAAAACTGAAAGAAAAAAAAGATTTTACCTTTTATTAGTTTTGGATAGAGTGAGGAAGGGTTAGACCCTATGCCAAGTTCTATGTTTGTGAGTGGTCCTGCTGGCAAGCTTCATCACTATATTTGTACTGGTGACCATTAATATAAAACAAAGGGGAATCCAAAATGTTAAAGCTGCTTTCAGAACAAGAGGTAAAAGGAAATCACGCAATGGTTGCACTTGTTACGAAGACAACTTTCTTGGAGGGAAATCTGCCTCACTTTCAAAGATTTCCTCTAACTTCTTGTTAACCAAAGAACAAACGTGAGGGCGCAAGGCTAAAGGGGCTATAAAACTAAGTTAAACATAGTGAGAAAATCGAAAGGAGATGGAACACTTACTTTGAGTGGGTCTCGGGACCGGATGGATGTAGAGCAGTGGAGGAGATTGTGAAGTCCAACGTATACAATCAATGAAGGCTGGTATGTTGCCTAGGGTAGCTCATCTCAGGGAAGAAAGAGGAGAAGGGTGGACAGGGGTGCGGGTGATGACACACACCCGATCCCTCCTCACCTTACTACTATCCCGGCCGTTTTGCCACCCCACAACACCACCACGGTACAGGCACTGGTCCAGTCACGTTCATTCACAGTTCGAGTTCTTCCACCCGCAGCTGCAGCCACAGCTGCCCAGCCAGACGTCAGTTCTCACATCGCTGGCACTTTACATTACATTAGCGGGGACACGGACACACTGTGTGTGTCATCACCCGCACCCCTGTCCACCCCTCTCCTCTTTCTTCCCTGAGATGAGCTACCCTAGGCAACATACCAGCCTTCATTGATTGTATACGTTGGACTTCACAATCTCCTCCACTGCTCTACATCCATCCGGTCCCGAGACCCACTCAAAGTAAGTGTTCCATCTCCTTTCGCTTTTCTCACTATGTTTAACTTAGTTTTATAGCCCCTTTAGCCTTGCGCCCTCACGTTTGTTCTTTGGTTCCACTAGTGCAGGTACTCCTCCTGTCTTCCAGGGCTGCAGGCGAGGTAGAGCTACAGTATCCTATTCCCCTGGCCTAATCCGAGAGCGCTGTCTGTACTATTCTCGTGTGCTTTTTTTTCTAACTTCTTGTTGCATCTCTGGGACTGGAAGTGAAGGGAAGTTTCCCCAATGGTACACAGACAGCAAAGAATAAACTGACAGGGGTTAAACACTTTCCTACTCTATCCAAAATGAAAAAAGGTTTCGGCTATACATATACTTATAATGTGTCTTGCTTCACTGTTACTCATGTATTAAACATTTACTTTTTTAAACAAGTAAACCAGCAACAGTAAAAACTAAATCAAAAAAGCATTTTAAAATCTTAAAATAAATAAAAAACTGAAAAATCTGACTCAAACCCATTTTAGTTTATCTTTAGTGTACAGAATTTGCCAACAAATGTAAAATATCACTACAACATTGCAGCTGTTTTACAGCTACCATATTTTCCCTGCAATATGTTTTCCTTATTTGGAAAACATTTTCCCACCGATTATATTTATTAGACCAGTTCTACTGTATATTTTCCCTTACTTAGGAGGAATTTCATGAGGTGATGCAAATCCATGCCACAAAATGTTACGGAGGTTCAGACTTTCTGGAGAACCAAGAAAAACCCTCAGGACATCCATCTGGTTGGAAAAAAGTAAGAGGTTTTAGAGCAGGGGTGCCCATTAGGTAGATTGTGATCTACTAGTAGCTCTCAAAGCTGATGAAGGTAGATCACGAAGGGTGTGAATGGCGGCCCCTTTATTCCATTTTGGTATATTTATTTCGCTGTGCACACACCTATTAGCCTGAGTCTGCTGAGCCAAGCTCTCGGACACCTTTCTGGTGGATACTGGTGGTTGAAGTGCTATGTATTACATCAAAGAATATTCGTTTACACAGCCTGGTGCCCTGCACTGTTTGCAAAATACAGCAAGGTGGACCAGGAGAGAGAGCGGGGAGAGACAGACAGGAGAGAGAGCAAGGAGAGACAGCCAGGAAAGACAGAAAGGAGAGACAGCCAGGGGAGAGAGCAAGAAGAGAAAACGAGGAATGACAGCCAGGAGAGAGCGAGGAATGACAGCCAGGAGAGAGCGAGGAAAGACAGCCAGGCGAGAGAGGAGAGACAGACAGGAGGATGAGCAAGGAGAGACAGCCAGGAGAGCAAGGAGAGACAGCCAGGAGAGAGAGAGAGAGAGGAGAGAGAGAGGACAGCCAGGAGAAAGAGAGCGCAAGAAAAGACCGACAGGAGGATGAGCAAGGAGAGACAGCCAGGAGGATGAGCAAGGAGAGACAGCCAGGAGGCGGAGCAAGGAGAGACAGCCAGGAGGATGAGCAAGGAGAGACAGCCAGGAGGATGAGCAAGGAGAGACAGCCAGGAGGATGAGCAAGGAGAGACAGCCAGGAGGATGAGCAAGGAGAGACAGCCAGCAGAGAGAGCAAGGAGAGACAGCCAGCAGAGAGAGCAAGGAGAGACACCCAGGAGAGCAAAGAGAGACAGCCAGGAGAGAGAGAGCGAGGGAGGTTTTTTTTTTTGTTGGTAGATCTCATGTCGCTCGTCATTTGAAAAGTAGATCTTAAACACAAATAATTGTGGGCACCCCTGTTTTAGAGGAAGCAAATGGTTATGTACAACTTAATTTAAAAGGCAAAAACAAACTATAAAAAACTACACACAAGTCTGGCATTATGAAACTGGTGCTCCTCTACCCCGCCAGCTGATAGTGGCTATTAGCCCTCTATGACCTCGACTTTTGGTCAGCAGAGTACATTAGCAAATGTACTCCTGTGACCCAAAAGAAGTGTAATAAAAAATGTTTATAAAAAGTTTGGCTTTACTTTTCTTTTAAAGCTGAATGCCAGGTACAAAAATGTAAGCATTGGTTCAGCTAGGAACAATCTAAGTATACATATTTTATACCTGGTCGGCCCACAGGTATCCTGTAAAACAGTGATTTACAGCAATGTTTCAGGCCCTGTACTGCTGCCGTGCGACTACCCATCTGCTGTAAAAACAGAGAGTCATGTGCTCAAAAAGGAAAAAAAAGGTTTGAGCTTTAGATACATTAATAAAACAATACATTCATTTTATGGGTGTAAATGCCAGGTTACTGTAACATACACTATATAAAAGAGAGCTACAGTATGTAAAAATAACACCAAAACATTTAAATGTGCTTTCTGTAAAATAATAAGATCAGCATGGCTGGTGTAATAAAGGATGAGTGTAAAAGGGAGCGCTGGTTTAAATTATTTGTAGAAGTTCGTTAACTGGGAAAATGTAATGACTTACAATAGATTTACTAAAGATTGTTGCTAGCTCTTCTGATGCAAGCAGGTCCCTCAGTAAGAAGGGGCAGTCTTTTCCAACTGTTAAATACACCTACAAAGTCAAATAAACAATTCAAGTGGATAACAGAACTTTCAATTACATTTTTTTAATAATTGCTTGAATGACACGAGAAAAAGTTGTTTTAACATTACTGAGTGTTGGTGGATCCTATTTTTGTACTAAATAGGTTCCCCTTTTACTGCACCATAGATACATCTGCTGTGAAATGGTAATGAGATGAGCAAAACATTCACAAGTTCAATCTTGCTCATTCTGAGTTGTGGTTTCCCCACAAATGTAAAGATTTTGAAGCGTTAATAGGGTATACATACAAGAAAACCAACATGAAAGCTATAGGCTATAAGCTATAGATAGAGAAATTATATCTTATCTATTACCTTCACTCACTCCTATGCAGCTTTATCACTGTAAATTATGTAAAAAAGATCATGTATCCTTTGGGAAAGAGCTAATCGAAGATATGTAAATATGTTTAAAAAACATTGGCCCCTTATCCCTTCGATTGACATTTACATGGATTGCAATAGGCAAAGAGAAGCCACCCCGTTTGCATTGTCTGTACGTGCATGGCTCCATTAGACGCCAACTGCCTGAAAAAGCATCTTCTATTGTGAAATGACAGGCAGGTGCACACCTCTAACCAATTGTATTATCCCCCCCTGGTTTACCTGGGCCCCCTATATATCCACCAGGTCCTAAGTTCCTGCCTGGGTTACATTATGGATGATTGATCACTGGTTAAAGGTGTGTATCTTTGAATTTGTGACCATTTAAAGTACATTTTTGATTAGAAATTTAAAAAGGTTGGCCAGGCAAGCTTTTTATTGCAAAAGAGACATACTATGAAGGGAATGTATCAAAACTGGAGCAGCTGTGCATGGCAACCAATCAGCTTCTTTCTTTCATGTTCAAATCTTAGCTGAACAAACTGAAAAGAGAAGCTGATTGCTTGCCATGCACAACTGCTCCAGATTTTGTCTGCTCCAGTTTTGATAAATTCCCCACAGAGTCTTTTCTGTAATAAAGGTCTCTACCTGTCTGCCATGTTATTGACATTGTAAACTGAACTGTGGATGAAGTCGGCAAAAGACTTGGTGCAGGCGAGGGAGCTCATGGACATTGCATTTCTGAAGGGAAGATGAGTTTAGGTCCACTTAAAAGGAGAATTATGGGGAGAGTGAAATACACTCACCCATAATTAGAGCCGACGTGTGACACTGAAGCAGTCACGACGGCTCTATTGATCGGGAACTGAGCGATAACATACGGCTGATCGCTGAGTTCCAGATTATCTCCCTGCAGATGACAGTCACCACTCGCCGCAGGGATTCCCCCATCCCCTCTCCGTTCCTCCAGCGCTGACTGGAGGAACAGACAGGGAAGGGGCGGGCAGAGTTAGATGTCAACCAGGTAGCAGGGTTGATCCTGACAATACTGTCAGGCTCCGGCCCGGCTGCAGTGCTTCTCTGCGCTGTCAGCATATAACGGGCAATAGCCCGCTATATGCTGAGTTTTGGGTCACAGGAGGACATTATTATATGTCCTCCTGTGATACTAAAAGAGAACTATGGCCAAAAAAGGTTGGCCCATAGTTCTCTTTTAAGACATTATCTAAATAGAGATTTTATAGTCTCCTCAAGTTTGCCTGCTTTTCTGTTAATTGTGGTTTGCACCCACAAGCAAAAATCATGTTGGGGGCAGCACAATGACCACGTGGTTCACTTCCTGGCCTGTTAGATCTGGGGTTCTTGGTTCAATCCCCACACTTTTTACATACAGTTTAAATGTATTCTCCCTGAATACATTTAAACATACATTTAAAGTCTGAACCAGATTCCAAAAAGGATCTTCCATATGTGAAAGCATACTGGGATACATTTGATTGCATGCAGCTGCACTTGAAAAGTACACAGAGTAAAAAAATATCTCAGAAAAATGTTTGTCATGCTTGTTAATGTTCTAAGTAGCTCCTTACTTACATCTCCTAGGGCACGCTCTAAACAAGATGTCATCTTCATCAACAGTAGGGAGATCTTTGTTCCATCCATGATTTTTAGTACAGCAGGTACACTGAGGAACAACTGAGAATAATATATTTGCATATGATAAATGTCTATTATTAGACAGGGCTACAAATTAAACATGTAGTGACAGTGAAGTTTTATCATGACTAGGGGAGAAGTCTAGACAAAACAATTGTAAGCTCTCACGGGCAGGGCACTCCTTACCATTTTGTCTTGGCTTGTATTGTAACTGTAATGTCCTCCTTATATTGTAAAGCGCTGAGCAAACTGTTGGCACTATATAAATCCTGTATAATAACTAGGAATGCACCGATACCAGTTCAGATACCAGTGCTGATTCTTGGCATTTTCATGAGAACTACCAGGGTTGCAGCGGTTGCAGCTGGGACCTGGCTCTGGTGCTCTACCACTGTCCTGAAATCATTAGTCTGTATTGTTTTAGAAAAACTGTCACATGACAATAAACAAAAATGTATCAGTACTTGTATCTGTGAGTACTTGGGCAAGTATCAGTACTCGTACTCGCAAAACTGGTATTGCTGCATCCCTTATATATGCCTATAAAAACAAAATCATACATTAAAACAGAGATGTACAAATCCCAGAAGCTCCGTGTGCTCCTTACAAATGACAGCTGCCTCCTAACTTTTGAGTTTGTCTCTAGTCTAGTCTTGGAGTTGGAGAAGTATCTGTACTTGTACCAAGTATGGTACTTGGTATCGGTGCATACCTAATCATAACTATTTCCCTTCGATGCTTGTATGGTCACTGGGACAGGAAGTGAAGGGGGAATCTTTGCAACAGGGACAAACTTTTTCAAATACTGATATTGTTTTGTCTGCAGTTAGACTTGAACTATTAATAAAACGAATGAAGCAATCAATCACTTTAGTTGATATTTTTGGTACCACCAAATAAAGTTTAAAGGAATATCCATAATTTAGCTTTTTGGGTAATCAAATTACAAATCTTGAATTGTGCTGGTTTATGTTCACTTGATATTTTTCCTTGCCCCTGTTGGAGAATTCCCCCTTCCTTTCCCAGAGATTTGACAGGATCAGAGGGCAAAAATAAATAAAAATCACACATATGACAGCTATTACGGAGTTCTTCTCCTGACCCTCTCTCTGTTCTAGTAATAGTGTAAAAGTTTGGAGTTTCCCTATGATCTATACCATTGACCACTGGGAAGTGAGGATAAAGGGGGGAGGGGTTGTAGTCTAAATCAGGAGAGTAGCCTAGGGTGACTATACTGCTCCTCCACATTTTTGTGTTTGGGTTTAGATATGCTTCGATTTGTCCAATAAGGCTAAAGAAAAATCTTGTATGACAGAACCAAGGGGGGTGTCACTGTAGACCTGCCTCTGAAAATGCTAGTTGCCTGGCTGTTATCACATCATATAGACAGGTCAACAATGCCTGATTAATTGGCTTATTTATACAAGCTGGAGGCACTACGTACAGAAGTCAAAAGCAATGTTAAGATTTTTCACACAGAGGGTGTCTGCTCGAACCTTATGACTAAGCATTGAGCATGCAGAAAACAATAAGATTGCTTTTGATGTCTGTAAGTCCTTTTTTAATCCAGTCCTTTCTTGAATAAACCTATTAATTTTGAAAGCGAGCATCATGGACTTACAGCAGTGACGTGCAGTACCTCTTGCTTGGGGTGAGGCATTCCCCAGCCCCGCGAAGCCCCGCCTAGCCGGACAAAGCTCCGCCTCATGCTGGCCGCAGCTCCGCCCCCACAGGACGAAGCCCCACCCCCATGCTAGTGTAAAGGAGGAAGGGAGGAGACAGGGAGGAGCCTCCCTGTCCCTCACTTGCTCCTCACCGCTGAGGCTCCGTGACAGGTTACACAGCGGGGAGGCTTTCCCTGCTGGGTAACCTGTTAGGTGCCGATCTGAATGGAGAAAAAGCTGTCAGCTTCAGACATGAATCTGACAGCTTTTTCCTCCATAATTCTAGGTGAGGCTCTGCCTCACCTGCCTCCCCTGACCGCACGTCCCTGACTTACAGTACACATGGGATAGATGAACAGTGACCTTTCTGAGCATTAATGTCTTATTTTTGAGGCAATGAGTATTTAAATAATTCATTTAAAGACTGGGTGGATAGAAATAGAATTTTTTTGCCATGTAGAACAACTTCCATATATGTATTTCAGTGGGGAGGGGGTGTAGCGGTTTACCTAAAGTTCAGTTTTAGAGGGTTCCATTCATAAAGTAATGGTATGGTCTAAAAAAAAAAAAAAAAAAATCAACAAAATAAAATGAGCTTCTCATTGATAAAGCCTAGTGGTGTGCTTTACAAATGTGCGTTGTGCTCCACTTGCTCTGGGACTCTAAAGCAAAAGTCACGTAGCCGACCTCCACTCCAATCACAGAATAATCTTTGCTATTTTAAACACGTAGGGGGGAATTTATCAATAATGGAGCAGGCAGAATCTGGAGCAGTTGCCCATGGCAACCAATCAGCATCCCTCTTCCATTTGCTCAGGTAAGATTTGAAAATGAGATTGGGAAGCTGCTTGGTTTTAGTGCAAATCTGCTCCAGTTTTGATAAATTCCCCCCATAGAATGCACACCTTGGCCTGCATTTTAAGAATGGGTCACAAAATGCAGGCCGTGTTGTGGAGTAACTGTGACATTTAACAGATTTACATTCTGGTACTTCATATATTTACAAGTATTGTTATAAATCAAATATGTGACAGTTATTTTCAGCAATCAATGTAAAACATGGTAATGTTTATTACAGACACATTTCGTAATATTTTTATTTTTGAGGTAGTGTGTGCCAGAAGTGAGGCATAGGGGTTGTCAGGGGGTATCTAACCACTTAGCCTCAGTAGACAGAGAAGGCATTCAGTGTTCATACAAACATCCCCATGTCAAGTCCATGTTATACTTCCACGGTTGGGGGCTTACCCTGACGGACAAGGACTGCAGTGTTGGGAAAATCCACCCATGCAGTCCACATGAAGAGCAGCAAAGTAATGTATCCTCACTTTTGCCACTTGTGTGTACCAGATGAAAACAAAAACTTTCCAAGTTAAACTTATTAAAAATGATTTAAATTAAAAGTTTCCTCATACCTCTTTATTGTTTGTCCAGTGAAAGTGCTCTCTAAATGTTTCTTCAAACTTCTCATTTGGCAAAGACATGAAATATGAATGCACAGCTTCACATAGGGGTCCTAGCTGCCTGACACTTTCAGCATAAGCCAGTCCTTTTTCTGTGGGAAAAGATAAAACCTGAGAGCAAGTCACCAATAAAATGAATAGTTTTACATTATAGCAATAAAATAAGGGCATATTTGTCAGCTAACCAGAAACCTACTGTTCAGAAAGTTTAAAAATAAACAGATAACAGTATATGATTGCTAAGTAATATACAAGTATTTTGCTAGTCATTTTGCTGGTCAATAAACAATCTGAGAGCAAGATTTTTAGAGATTTAATACAACTCTCCCAAATAAAAGGAAGATCCCTAATTTAGGAATTTTGAATATCATGAATATTATGCAATGGAAAAAAAGTTTCTTTTTTGTAGTCACTGTAAAATCATTTTCTGAAGGACTACGGTAAGTAAAGGGGCCACAGCAGCCTCTGGGAGTATAAACCATGCCCTTAGTAGCATTAACACCAACTAGTTGAAAACCATGCTCCTCCTCTTGTGGAGTAGAACCTTCTGCACAGAAGTGAAAGTCCAGAAGTGGCTAGCAGTACAAAGAAAGGTAGAAAACCAAAAAACAAATTGTTCACAAACTAAAGGCTATGGTAATGTGTAAGGGCCTGTCCCTAAATGGTGCTTAAAACCAGTGATTATTAAGACCTGATTACAGGAAGCTCAGATACAAGGACCTGAAGGTTGTGGAAGCATGCCACTGGAAGAAGGCCTGACAAAGTTAGACATCAGGAAATGAGGGCTTGCAAGCCTAAAGCACTGTGGTAAATACAGCTTCTTAAAGCCCTTGCTCCCTTAGCACCTTGGCTTCATAAAGCCAGTGTCTGAAAAGGATTGAATAAGGGCCCTTGGGACAGGAGGTCTGGCTAATCTTAAAGAATGGTGTTGACTCAATCTAGCTTCATCTTTCTGAGCAGCCAAGAATCTTCAGAATAGGGAAGGCATATACAGATAAATAAGAGCTCCTGGAGCTCCATAAAGTGGGTTACAATCCTATGGACCTTTTAGTTGTGGGGAGATGCCATTATATTAATGGCATGTGTACCCTAATTCTTGTAGATCAGGTGGAATTCGTACTGAAAAAGATCCTATCAACCCTGTCCAGAACTACTTGATGTTAGCTGAGAAGAATACCATTGCAGACATTCTCTCCAGCATAGAAATGGGTTATTTGAATTGTACAGGATGACTACTGTGATGGAGGGGACTAATAGAAGAGAGATGTATAAATAGCCAGGAAACCTGGGATTTTTAGAAGCAGGGATGAATGGGATGAAACTGAGAGGCTCGAGTCTGTTGTGAAAGTCCATCACTAGAGAAGCAGGACTGACCTAAGGATACCAGGCAAGAACAAAGTAACCAGGGAAGGGAAAGTTTGATCTCACAACACAAATGGATCATGCTGCCTAGGGAGAGAGACAAGCAGGTACTGCCTCCTTAAGGGACAAGGTTTGGAACTGGGTCAAGGGAAGCACCTTAAAAAGGAGAATATCATTAATTTGAGAATTCACAGAGGCAAAGAGTAAGGGGGTGCTAAGTGCAAAGCTGAAACAGGATAATATCCTTGTTAAGTGCCCATTCACACCACATTCAGCTCATCCGCAGACCAGACCAGATTGTTTCCGGACCAAAAATGCATCCTAGTGTATCCCTATGCTATTTCTGGCCTCTGTTCACACCAGCGCAGTCCGTTCCAGACCAGACCAGAAAAATACTGCATATCTCATATCTGGTCTGGAATGCACTGGAACTGCGGGCAGGTTCACACCATTTTCTGGACCAGATCTGGCCCGGAAAATGGTGTGAACCTGCCCTGAGGCGAGACATAGGGGTTTCTATCAGGAAAGAGATAAACAATTTATAGACTACATCATCAGAAAAATTTGTAGAAAATTTTAATATGCGTAGGGAGCAAAAAAGGATTAAAAGGGTATTTCCATTCCTTGAGTAGAATGTCTTCAGGTTTGGGTTGAATAAAGAAGACCCTGGAAGATTGCCTGCGAAAAACGGACCTTAGTGACAGAGCTGTAATCAAAGGTTGAGAACTCATCAAGCTTTGGCAGGCAAGAGAGTCACTATAATAATCTGCCGAAAACATGACAGCTGTGCCAGAGTTGTAGGGTTGTAGCAAGTGTCTACCTTCAGGAGCAAAGGAACAGGGTAAATATGTTTTATGAGAAAAATCCACTTCTGCTGGGCTGCAGATACAGTAAATATAGACGATGGTTTTCGATCTGGGTCCGAATAGTAGGTGCCACACCCCTAGAATTTAAATTCGACAAGGACAGAAAGTGGGGTTTTGAGAGCACCAAAGGAACTTACTCCACAAAGAGATTCATATAAAAGAGTTAATTTTAATTACATTCATTAAAAACAAAGGCTAGATATACAATCCAAATTAAAATCAGCTAATTAGATAGCTCCCTGTGCGCTCTCTCCATATGTACCCTTCCTACAGCATGATTGTATCATAACAAGATAAGTGCATAGTTTAGGAAACAATCTGATAATACAGACGATCAAGGATAAGGGATAACAATTCCTTAGAAGCTTAAATGCTGTATGGAGTTGGTGGAGGTTCATAAATGGAGGAGCTGGTACGACGTTTCGCGCACCCAGGCGCTTCTTCAGGTACAGGAGGTATCAATTTATGTGCTCTGGTGTGTATATGTGTCTGGGCGGGTCTGGTCGAGCTACGCCCCTGCGTAGTCCCCCCTAAAAATAGGAGGGGTACTATGTTGGTCAATTCCCAATATTGAGTTTTAGGGGTAAGAGAAAGGAAGGAAGAGACAACAACAACGAGGTGTTTGAGTCAATCAGGCTGATGGCCACACAGTTTTAGGAGACGAAAAAACGGAAAAGGCATGGACCGAGCAGTTAGGCAGCGGCAGTTAGGCAGCGGTAGTAGATGTGGGTGGCGTAGGGGTAATCGGAGGACCTAATTTTGGAAGACAAGCAGACAGAAACTTCTGCTGGGTCCATGCCTTTTCCGTTTTTTCGTCTCCTAAAACTGTGTGGCCATCAGCCTGATTGACTCAAACACCTCGTTGTTGTTGTCTCTTCCTTCCTTTCTCTTACCCCTAAAACTCAATATTGGGAATTGACCAACATAGTACCCCTCCTATTTTTAGGGGGGACTACGCAGGGGCGTAGCTCGACCAGACCCACCCAGACACATATACACACCAGAGCACATAAATTGATACCTCCTGTACCTGAAGAAGCGCCTGGGTGCGTAAAACATCGTACCAGCTCCTCCATTTATGAACCTCCACCAACTCCATACAGCATTTAAGCTTCTAAGGAATTGTTATCCCTTATCCTTGATCGTCTGTATTATCAGATTGTTTCCTAAACTATGCACTTATCTTGTTATGATACAATCATGCTGTAGGAAGGGTACATATGGAGAGAGCGCACAGGGAGCTATCTAATTAGCTGATTTTAATTTGGATTGTATATCTAGCCTTTGTTTTTAATGAATGTAATTAAAATTAACTCTTTTATATGAATCTCTTTGTGGAGTAAGTTCCTTTGGTGCTCTCAAAACCCCACTTTCTGTCCTTGTCGAATGGGCTACAGATACACCGTGATACAAAAAACTAATGACAATGTAAACATTCGACAAAGTCACTAAACATATAAATTCACATAACCACTATAATTGTAAAATAAAATATAAAAATGATCTCGGAAAAAAAATAAATGATATGATTTTCTAATGCAGGCACTAATTATTACTTCTACCTATTCCCCTGAAACACTGTTGGTGTACACTACATACTTAGAAGCTCTGAGCTGAAATGTAGATAAATGCAGAACTCTGGCCTCAAGTGCTAAGTCCATGATTAAACTCTACCCAGTCTTGCTTAGTAACATCCAGGCCCGGCGCTACCGCAAGGCAAGTCAGACGGCCGCCTGAGGGCGTTGAAGGGCTGAGGGCGGAAAAAACCTAGTGGTCAGTCAGTGGCCGCCGCTACGGTATGGGGCTCCGAGCAATCGGCCCCATGTGAGCAGGACTCCGCCCCTAGGTTCCCTCTGCTGTGCCTGTGACCCTGTGTGCGGCTGTGCCTGCACGTCTGAAAAGCTTCCTCTGTGGACTCGGTAGGTGACAGTTTTCTCTCTTCCCCCTCTGTCTCCCGATTGTATAGTGGAGCGTGTGTTTGTTTTTAACTCTCCCTCCCCCTCTGTCTCCCATCCCGTCCCGGTCCTAAGCTGCAGTGTGTGTGTGTGTGGTTTTTTTTTTAACTCTCTCACCCCCTTTGTCTCCAGGTCCTAAACTGGTGTATATTTGTGTTTTTTTTTTAACTCTTTCTCCCCACACTGGTCCCAGGTCACATCAGTATTAGGCCCCATTCACACCAGTGCAATTGCGGACCAGTGCGTTTTCCGCGCTGATCCAGAAACCACTGATTTCAAAAGAGTGATTTTGGTCGCTTTTAATTGTGTTTCAGCGCTGAAACGCAATTCAAAATGCCCAAAACCGCGCTAATTAGCACGATTCCATTGAAAGCTGTATGGAAACCGCACTAATCAACGTGGCAAAAAAGGGTCAGGGAGCAGTTCGGGCGGGGGGCAGTTCGGATCGCACTATCCAATTCTGCATACCTGGCTTTATATTATAAAAAAATGTAATAATAATATAAAGCCAGTTATAGTTATACAGAATTGGATATAGCTGTGCCACACTATACAGTGTTCTGGTCTGGAGTCTGGACATGTGCTCATCTATTTTCCCTTACAAGCCTTAGTTAGCAATGGCATGATAAATATTTATTTCATGTTCATTTCATGTTCTTCATAATATTAAGAAACTGACCTAAAATCATGATTTTGTATTGCTTTAGAAAAAATGTGACCTGTCCCTTTAAGGAAAAGTATCGGTAATTGGTATCGGCCAGTACTTGAAAAAAAGTATCGATACTCGTACTCGGTCTTAAAAAAGTGGTATCGGAGCATCCCTACCGCATACGCCACAGCGAGAGCTACTATAGCTTAAAAGAGCACAAATCAAGTGAATGGGGATTTTGGGGTGGCGTTGTGGATGGGGGCGTCAAATTTCGCCTGTGTAGGCAAAAATCCTTGCACCGGCCCTGGTAACATCAATCCCACATAGACATGAATAATCTCCTGGTCCTTGGCTGTGCAGGGCTGAGGCACTCCCTGGGATGTCCTGAGTACTGATAAAATACATGGTAGTGATTCTCGCTCTCAATAATGCTGTCACAGCTATGCTATTTTTAAGTGGACTGTCAGGTCTTCCCAGCTCATTCTGTGGACTGTAGTAAGCAGTGATTTGGTATGCAGGCAAGGACACCAATATGAGTCGTCTATTAACATGCAGACTCCGCCAAGGCAGGGAAGGTGAGCGTCAGGTGTGTTTAAAAATGCCCACCTGTTCATAGATAACCATGTGAAGATACAACTTACCTGAAGACGCATGACAAACTTTGCTACATATTGCATCCCAACACACTTGATTGTCCTCGTCTAAAATATTTAAAATCTCTATATGGTCCTGGATCTCAAACCCAAGCTGACACACCATCTTGTAGACTGCTGGAGACAGACATGTAGTGAGCATCTGCATTGAAAAACAAAGAAATACTGTTATTATTTGTATACACACTGGCCTACTGTTACATAAACATCATGCCTCTCGGTCTATTAAAAGACTGTGCGCAGCTACTTCTTCAGTCATTTTGATCTGGCTCATTTTTGAGAAAATGAGAAAACATTCACAAGAAAAGATGCCTCAGATTATAGCTACACTTTATGGCTGAAAGTGTGTGGTCATTAGTAGCACACCTGGGGAAAAACACAAACATAGGCGCCTTTCCTGGTGCAGACAAATTTATTTCAGATAAAAGCAATAATAGATGTGAAACATACTCACAAAGGTCAACATGTATGAAGCATTGTGTGTGAATACATGGACCAAGGTAAAAGCCAGAGACAGCTGCACAGCCGAGCCTGTGTACAAGCAGGGTAGGCTGTGATGACGCGTTTCTGGGGTCACGCCCCCTTCATCAGATCACACCTGTGATATATGGCCAAAAGTAACTGTAGTTGTCAGTCTTACAATGCCTCATGGGACTTGTAGTTCCAAAACAGCTGCAGTGCCAAGGTTGCCTACCCCTGACCTACGCAATCTCTAATGTGCATACACCATTACTCCACAACTACTGCTTGCAATTTGTTCAGTATAGTTCAACTCTAGAAAAACGCCGGCATTATTTGTATTCATTAAATTCTCTAGATTTTTGTATGTGTGATACAGAATAAAATGCAGGACGCTGATACAAGAAGTGCTTCTCTAGATGCATTTTATGCAGGCGTGCTTTATTCCAAAGATTAAAGGAGAACTATGAGGTGAGCGCTTTTCACTCACCTCATAGTTCTAGCCGACCTGTGACAATGAAATTGTCACAGGTCGGCTCAGTAGATTGGGAGGTGAGCGAACACATATCGGCGTGCTCTCACCTCTCGATCCTGTCACAGCTCTCTGCCGTGACAGGGGAGGGGCTGGATTCCCCCCTCCCCGATCCGCCAGCGCTGACTGGCGGAACTGACGGGGGCGGCTACTCTAGATAGGCAGAGCCAGCTGTCACTCACGCTCCACACCCCAGTCAGCAAGAGGTGAAAGAATATCTAAAGCACACTACAAAAAGATTACTAGTCCTAATAGTCCTAAGATATAGCATCTGCATTCGTTTTCATTTATTTAGAAGATTTGATCTTGCCACTTCCTGTAAATTGAACTGTACACACAAAAAAGTGAATGGATATAGTGGAGGAGTAAGTGTGGCCACCGAGGTGTGTTATTCACAGGACCACCAGGTGCAAAAAAAAAGGGGACAAAACAAGCCCTGGAACATTAAAACCAATGCAATCACTACATCTAGGGATTGGTAAGCAGTAATAGATAACATTTGTGGTTTTGGGTTTAGATACCCTTTTGGGAAGTTCCCAGATGTGCTGGTTACTATTAATGATTAATGATGGGCTCGGGCTCCACGTGCCGAGCCCGCCTGGAAGCTGACAGCGCCAATCACAGGCACGGAGACATTTCCCGATCTCTGCAGCTGCGGACCGGGATAATGTCTCAGTACCTGTGATTGGCGCTGCGGTGCTGTCAGCTTTCTGTCGGGCTCGGCACGTGGAGCTGCGAACACGCACAAGCCTATCACTATTAATGATGAGTCTGGGCTTAGTGCATAACCGGTTTGCCCAAGCCTGCTAAAAGTGAAGCCTTCCTACTATGACATTAGTTACCATTCTGCTTCCTCTTCTAATGACAGACACCTAGTGTTACAGCATACAATAAGATCTGCACGTTTTCAAGGTGAAATCACATTTCTAACAGCACGGCTTTAACTGACACAGACTGGTAACCATGAACACACCTCCAGACCAGTGACAGTGCGGTCCTTACTGCGCACCCGGTTCTATCACACTGCGCATGCGTAGCTCCAGGAACGACCAGCCTAGGGAGGATTTGTCTCCGGAAATGGTGTTTATTTCAATTTTTTTTTGCCGTTGATCGATCAAAACTACGAACTTATCGAGTTGTGGGACCTCATTACTTCCGGTTTCCTCAGAACTACGAGGTTTTTACACAAAACATGTTGTGCACGAGCGCCATCCACGGCATTGCCCTATAGACACAGCAATAAAGTAATAAAATGATGTAGGATGACAGTAAGCCAGCGCGTTCTTTATCTCAGGTGCCCCACTCAAGCGGCGGCCATATTGAGTGGGGCACCAGAGATAAAGAACGTGCTGGCTTACTGTCATCCTACATCATTTTATTACTTTATTGCTGTGGTCTATGTCTATAGGGCAATGCCGTGGATGGCGCTCGTGCACAACATGTTTTGTGTAAAAACCTCGTAGTTCTGAGGAAACCGGAAGTAATGCGGTCCCACAACTCGATAAGTTCGCACTTTCGACACATCACCGTCAGATTTTTTTTCAGAGACGTGCGAGTCCTATATGGGTAGCTGTATTGCTGCGTTGACTAACATGGTGTAAATGAGAAAATAAAGCTAGTGAACAGTGAACAGGAAGTCTCTTTGTCAGCCGGACTTCCGTGCGTTCCAGCTGCTACAAAGGGTATTGTACGTAACATGGGACGGCGGGACGTAAAAGACGCAGCCAGGGAACTCCCATGCTTCCATTGTGTGGCCACCAGGGGCGGCACACTCTAATTGGTTATGTAGCGACAGCAAAGGAAAACGACGAATTATAAACACGGGTTTTAAAAGGAGCAATACATATTTATTTCTGTTTTAAAATGTGCTGTAATATTAATTAAAAACATAGGAATTTAAACATAAATTAAAGAGAAAAATAATACAAATAAGTCCATTAAAATTAGAAAACAGAAAAAGACAGCTTTTGCTGCAATACTCACCTTCAGCCAGGAGCTGCCCTGTGCAATAACTTATTTTCTGCTGGGGGTGGCAGACCTCTGCAGAGAGACCACTGCTTTCGCAGAGAGCAAGGGTCCTGCTCTTTTTTTATACATAGACCAGAATTTTATTTTTAAAAATGCACCCCAATCACTTCTTAAATCGCTGGATCCATATCCACCAGCGCCACTTTCCTGAATCTTCAGTTGGGAGGGCATAGACTACAAATATGTAGGAGGGGTAGTCTGTGGCATTGTGGTGGCTACATGGGTGGGTAGGGGGGAGGACTGTGGCATTGTTGTGGGTGAATGGAAAGGAAGGGAGGTCTGTAGCACTGCCATGGTTGCATGGGTAGGGGGACTGTGGTGGGGTGCATTCATGGGGACTGTAGCACTGTTTTGAATGTATGGAAATGGGGGGAGAAGGTCTGTGGCATTGGGGGTGGCTGCATGGGAAGGGCATCTGCAACACTGTGGCAGGTATATGGGAAGGAGTAGTCTGTAGCATTGTGCTGGTTGCTGTGGTGGCTGCATGGGAAGGGCGTCTGTGGCACTGTATGGGAAGGAGGGGTCTGCAGTATTGTGATGGTTGCTGTGGTGGCTGCATGGGTGGGGGGTCTGTGGCACTGTGACAGGTGTATTGGAAGGAGGGGTTTGCAGCATTGTGATAGGTGCTGTAGTGGCTGCATGGGTGGGGGGTCTGTGGCACTGTGGTGGCATATTAGATTTAGAGAAGGGACTCCATGCTATAGATTCCCCAAGTATACAATGAAGTTTATAGAGAGAATTGCTCCTCTCAGATACAGATATCAGCTCGCTGTCTTTCAGACTGCAACAGTAAACACTGACATGATAAGCATTGACAAGTTTGGGGAATACATCAGCAGCCTCTTTAGTGGGGGCTTTGTTGAAATTTACTGAGAAAGGACCTTCTACCAAGTACCTCACATACCTCCCAACTTTTGTGGAACTTTCTCAGTATTTGAGCCACCCCATGTCTTGGCATTGGGTGCTGGAATGCCAGTGTCTGACTAGTGCAAGTACAGAAAACCTATCCCCACTTCCATATGTCCACAGGGGTTTTGGAGGGTGGAGGTGGCTGACTTGTGGTCCGAAGAGGGGCTGATCCTGAGTCTAGAAAGTAGATTATAGCCCCACTATAGGCACCATAGGTGGAAGTCCAACTCTCATCAACCTCAGTGCTTTGGTTGCATCTCTGCCTCCCTCCCCACCTAACCATCCAGAAAGCAAATGGCCCCGGGCTGCATTTTTCCATTACCCAGAAGGAGAGGGGTATGGAGATATGGCCTGGTATAGTTCAGGAGGGGGGCGCAAGCTCAGCACTCACCTTTCCTGGCCTGCCACTCAATCAAACTATTGTCTGCCTGTTAAACGAAAGGTGGGAGATTGACAGAGAGACGTACAGGCAAATAGACAGCTGGAAAGATAAACGGATGCAGTGAGATAGGCAGATAGATGGATGGACAAATAGACCAATGGATTGATAGATGGATAAACTATGTAGAAGATGTGAGAAGATGAAACTGATAGATTGACAGATAGATCCATAGACAGCTAGAAAAGAGGTATCCTTTAGCTGTGCTCCTTAAAAATCAGATGATGTAAGATTTCATCTTGATTGTTTTTTTCTTTAGGGCCCGTCCACACCAGCCCGACCTCTGAAACGCTCCATTTTAGCAGATAGGCTAGTGCAATAAAGTGCTCATATAATGTTCGCTTTGTACTCCAAATATTCATAAAGTGCTCAATTTGTCAGATCCCACACTTGATAGCCATAATAAATATGTCTCTCACCATAAACCATACATACAAATAAAAATATTAAATACATACATTTATTGTATATCAAAAGTTCATTCCTAAAGCTGGCCATACCCCTATAGATTATCTGCAGGCTTTCTGTGGTCAGATGGAAAAAGTGCAACAGATTCCTCCATCTAAGCTAAACTGTGTGGTTGGAGGAATCTCCCACTGGGTCAAGCTTCAGTATCTTGCTAGTCGGCCCCGCTGGCTCTCAAAATATCTGAACAATGCCTGCATCCAATCAGATTGTTCAGGTATTTTGAGAGCCAGCAGAGCCGACTAGCAAGATACTGAAGTTTGTTGCTGGCGCTGGATTATCAGGTGGCTTCTCTAGATTCCTATTTTGTGAATTG